AGCTCTGCCAATCATGGAGTTTCCCCTGATGTCTTTAATGTTCCTTATCAATTTTCATAACTTCCCATTTGTATGGATTGCCTGATAGCTATTTTCCTTTTTTCCCATTTGTATATATTGCTTTTTTCCCACATAAATGCTGCCTTCACTTTGCCACTGAACTGGGTTTTTAGCCAAAGTTCTCCACTTCCTTGACTGTGGAATCGTGACTTTTTAATTGGCCAATAAACTCTTCTTAACAGAACTCCCAAGTTTCATTCCCATTTTTCCTCCCAATCAGTTTTGCTGATACTTTTCCTCAGCTTTGGGGAATTAGCCCTTTTGACTGGTATCTGTAGATAGCTATTAACAGTTGGGAACTGTTCTCTGCTTGTCTATTTGAATGTAACCAGTTCCATTCTTTTATTTTGTTCTCCTCTATCATATGCTCCGTCCTTTGTCTCTTCTCTAAACTAAGCAGTCCCAGACTTTTCAGTCCGCATATGGCAGCCTCCCCCAGACTGAGAGCCTGTCTCAGAAATCCCCTTTCTGTCTGCTTTATCTGTTAGAGACTGGGTGACAAAACACTGAGCCTGACTGTCCAGAGCAGGTTATTGTCCATCCCATTCCTTAGGCAACCGAACATTGTGTCTGTTTTGGTCACTACTGCAAAGAAGCAGGTGTTTCCATGGAGCTGCTCTCAATGATGCCCAAGATTTTTCCTAAGGTGTGCTCGAGTTGGGATGTTTTCCACTGGCACATGTCTTGGCAAAGGTTTGGGTTTTTTCCCCTCTCAGATTTTCAGTAACTAGGTGAATGGGAAACTCCCTAGAGCATGGACTCTCCAGCGTGGATTTCATTGCATTAAGGCAATGTGTACATTGGCAGATATTTTTGCCAAAAGTTTGGTCAATGACCAAAAAGCCTTTAAAGAACCAGTCATTGTTGCACATTCACACTGTCTTTCTTTTTCGGCATAGCAACAGTGAGAGCAATGCACTGTGGGTAGCTTATCCCACAGTTCAGCTCTCCATCCTTGTGCCGAGAGGTGTTGTGGGAAGGTGGAGTGGATCACAGCACATCATGGGTTAAGGCTTAATGTTCAATGATGCATTGTTTTCTGTCCCAGCATTCCATGTTTTCCCATCTCCCGTTCATGGCACTTTTCAAGGTCCCTTGTTTTCTGCTCAGTCCGCCACCTCTAGCTGCAGGAATGGATCCCTCACTGCTCTGCTAGCTGTCAGTAGCACATCGCAAATGGCAGTGGAATCAATCTTGAAGTTGCTGAAGGCACTGAGGGTCACAGTTGCCTGACACGCTGTCTGACATGGATAGCAGCAGCATTAGGTTGCTTTTGCCATTCACAGAACAGCTAAACATGGTGGAAATTGCTTTTGGGCTCAAGAAACTAGCACTTAATGATGGAATTGCATCATTATGCAGGTCTGGGAAGATGAGCAATAGCTGCAGGTCTTTCGGATGAGGAAAGCCACCTTCCTGGAACTGTGTGCTGAGCTCACCCCAGCCCTGTGGCAAAGAACACCCAAATGAGAGCTGCCCTCTTGGTAAAGAAGCACTTGGCGATCACAGTGTGGAAGCTGACCACTCAAGGCTGCTACCGGTCGGTCTCAAATCAGTTTGCAGTTGGGAAATCGATCTTTGGGGCTGCGTGATATTGTGGATGGCTTTGCAGAAATGCGTTTCCCTAGCCTTGGAGGGGTGATAGATGGCATGCATATTCCAATTTTGGCACCAAAGCTCCTTGCGATATTGTATATCAATCAGAAGGGGTACTTTTCCATGGTGTTACAGGTGCTTGTGGATCACCAAGGACATTTAATTGACATCAGTGCAGAGTTGTCTGGAAAATTGCATGATGCATGAATCTTTAGGAACACTAATCTTTACAGAAAGCTGCAAAAGGGGACTTTCTTTTCAGACCAGAAGATCCCCATAGGGATGTCGAAATGCCCATACTGATCCTGAGAGACTGGCATACACCTTAATGCCAGGGCTTATGAAAGCCGTACATGGGAAATCTGGATAGCAGTAACGAGTGTTTCAACAAGAGGCTGAGTAAGTGCAGGATGACTGTGGAATGTGCATTTGGCAGATTAAAGGCACGCTGGCGAGGCCCTTCTGGCAAATTAGACCTTATTGAGGAAAATATTCCCATGGTCGTAGTCATTTGTTGCACATTGCATAATATTTGTGAAGGAAACGGCAAAAAGTTTGCTCAGAGGTGGACTGCTGAGACATGATGCTTGTCTGCCGATTTTGAGCTGCCAGACACCAAGGCTATTAGAGGGGCACAAAGGGGGAGAATTTGAATCAGGGAGGCTTGAGGCAACACTTTGAAGTTGAGAACCAGTAATGTTTGTTGCTATGCTTGGGATTGTAATGCATAATGAAGTCCAGTTTTGTTCAAGCCCAGGATTTAATGTAAGGAAATGATAAAACCACTTGCTTGTTTACTGCTGCCATCTGCTATCATAACTTCCATGAAAACAAAGAAAGAGTGCTTATTATTCAAATAACTATGCTTTTATTGTCAAAAAACACAATACTATGCATACACACAGAGACAAACTCACATTCTTGGGAGGGGAAGGTGCCAGGGGAGGACTGATTTTAGAGCTGAGCATACTTCCAGCTGTCGTTTAAAAAGCTGTCTACAGGGGTGGAGTGTAGGGGAAAGTGTGAAGTCCCAGAAATCAGAAAGTAGTGTTCGGGTGGAGTTTGGGGAGGGCATGGGAAAAAGCTCTGAATATGCTGAAGGGGAGGGCAGACACAAATTTGCTCAGTCTGGAGCATTACAAGGGACTGCAGCATGTTGGTTTGCTGCTCCAAAACTTTTATCAGCCTCTCCATTGCGTCCCTAGGGCATGCCTCATTTCCTTTTCTATCCTGCTTGTCATATTCCATCCACTTCCTGCATTCCATCTTCTCTGCTTCTGAGTGCTGAAGCACCTCCTGAAACATATCTTCCTTGCTCCATCTTGTGCTCTTTCCTATCTGGCAGAGACACTTGGCTGGGGTGGAGGGGGTGCCTCCTTTCAAGGACATATCTGTTAAAACACAAGTAACAATAAACAGAAGCATTTTTGTTAACTACACGTACAGGATTGAAACATGACATTAAAATACACCGCTGGTAACACACCGATCACTTTCTGGCTGACCCTTGACAAGCACACATGCTGGTGAACACCACAAGCATCATGAGTTTACCCAGGAGTAGGGGACATTGTGTGTGGGAGAAAAGCACTGTGAAAAGGGTCATGGAGCACTTCTCAGGGAGCAATATTCTAAAGTTTCCCACCCTTTTCCACAGGTGGGGGTCATTGTGGCAGATATCTCTCTCCTGACGGGAAGCAAGGAAGCAAGTGCGCATCTACTACACACTTGTTGTTTCCTCCCCCATCCCTATGTTGCTCGCCTGTGTGCCGCTTTGGTCCTTGTCCAAATAATTCCAGAATGGCACAGGAAAGTGTCCCTCAATGGGGGAAGGAACAAAGCAGCTGTGCCAAGGAACCTCTGGCACAGGATTGTGGAGTACCTGCAGGAAAGTTTCCTAGAGATCTCTCTGGGGGATTTCCAGTGACATCTCGGTGTGTATCAACACCCTCTTCCACCGTACTGTCTAGCTGCATGGGAAAATACCCAGCACACAGAAACACAGCCAGAATTGTACATTTCTTTTCCCTCAATGCATCTCCACACTTCACAAAGCAAAATCACTTACCAGGGTTCTCCTCTCCAGCTTCTGGCTCGCCTGATTGTGACTGCTGAGACTGTCTGGACACCTCCAGAATGGAGAACACCTCCTGACTGGACGCAGCACTGGGCGAACCCGGCACAGGCTCCACGTCTCCTAATGTATTCAGTGCTTCATCGATGACTTCCTCCTCTGGATTAGGTCAAGTTTCTGTCAGTTCTAACCCAGGGGATTTATCCACAGGGTTCTCTGCCATGGAGGTGGGGTCGCCTCCACGGATAGCATCCAACTCCTTATACACACAGCAGGTCTGGGGCACAGCACTGGAGTGACCATTTGCCTCCCTTGCCTTCGGGTATGTGTGCCTCAGCTCCTTCACCTTTGTTCTGCAATGCAGTATGTTCCGATCATAGCCCTTTTCCCACAAGGTGCACGAAATGTGTGTGTAGGTATTGAAATTCCTACAACTGGAGCACAGCTGAAATTGCACAGCCCCCTCTCCCCAAATACTGAGTAGATCCAGCAGCTCCGCAGTGGTCCCAGGGGGAGAGCATTTTCTGCATGGATTCACCATGGTTACCTGGAAACATGTATTGTAAGCTCTCCATGCCAAGCAAACAGGAAGAGGAATTTCAGAATTCCCGAGACTTTAGATGGGGGACAGGTGGAAGGAGTTTACCTGGATGCAGGGTAGCAGAGATGAAATTTCTGACCAGAGTGGTCAGGATGGGCATTGTGGGATGCCTTCGGGAGGCCTATTACTGCGATAAAATCAAGTGCAAGTGTCCATATTGGCACTTTGGGGACAAAACTTTTGATTAAAAAGCCTTACAACTTTCATCAAGGTGGTTTTATAATCTCACTGAAACTGAGGAGTTCCATCATCGAAAGTGGCTTTGCAGAGTATACACCTCCACTGTTTCTTCACCAAAAGCTGCCTTTTGGTGAAAAAACTTCACAGTATAGACAAGGCCTAAGGAACAATGTTGGATAACCAGTATCCACACTCATGTTTCCTGCCGGTTCGTATTAAGGTTCTCCACACCATGATGTGTAGGAATTATTGATGCATGGAGCACCATAAAATATGGAATTGGCATTAGTAGGGTCAGTTCTTCATAATTCATTTATCTGAGTAATGAAAATGTCATTTTTCTGTGAAGAACAACCAATCTGCTTCACCTATGATAACAGCTTCCAGTAGTGCATGTAATGTCTCATATTAACATTGTCTCTCCACCAGGCATTTGTACTGCGACCATCACACTAGATACATACAGGAAGTCAGGGGAATGTACGGTGCATGCAGGAGACACCGTTGTGCCTGAGCGTTGGACACCTTCTCCCTTTCTACATGTCAGATTCCAACACAACCGACTTCACCAACCCCTCCACCTTCATCCTGCTGGGCATTCCTGGCCTGGAGGCGGCCCATGTCTGGATCTCCATCCCCTTCTCTGCATCATGTACTGTCATAGCCGTCTTGGGGAACATCACCATCCTGTTCATTGTGAATATGGAGCCGAGCCTCCATGTCCCCATGTACTATTTCCTCTGCATGCTGGCCGTCACCGACCTGATCCTGTCTACGTCCATCCTGCCCAAAACACTGAGCATCTTCTGGTTCAATTCCAGGGAGATAGATTTTAGTGCCTGCCTTACCCAGATGTACTTCATTCACAGCTTCTCAGCGATGGAGTCTGGGATCCTTGTGGCCATGGCTTTGGATCGTTATGTGGCCATCTGCCATCCCCTGAGGTATTCCACCATCCTGACAAACCCTGTGGTGGCCAAGGTGGGCCTCGCCATGGTGCTGCGTGGAGGCATGCTTGTACTGCCCTATCCCTTCCTGACAAGGCGGTGGCCATATTGCAGAACCAACATCATCCCTCACACATACTGTGAGCACATGGCTGTGGTGAAACTGGCCTGCACAGACATCCATGTCAGTAGTTACTACAGCCTCTCTGCAGCATTCTTGGTGACGGGTCTGGATGTGTTTTTTATTGCTGTGTCCTATACCCAGATCCTCAGGGCCATCTTCAGCCTCCCCACAAAGGACGCCCAGCTCAAAACTTTTTGGACTTGCAGCTCCCACCTCTGTGTCATCTTAACTTTTTACATCCCAGCTCTCTTCTCCTTCATCATGCACCGGTTTGGCCACAATGTGGCCCTGCATTTCCATGTTCTCCTTGCCAACGTATACCTACTGGTGCCCCCTGGGCTAAATCCCATCATCTATGGGGTGAGGACCAAACAGATCTTGGACAGGCTGCTCCGGCTCTTTACTTATAAAGAGACCTAAAGTATTCTCCTGGTTCTTTGGCTCTCAGACTGAGCTCCATGCAGAGCTGGCTGGTGACATGGTGCTGGGTCCTCTTCCCTGAATCACTGACTGGATAGTCAAAGAGACATTAAACCCTTTCCTGGCCTTAATGTGCTCTGTAAGCATAAAAAACTGGGGAATCAGTCTGTGTACAACTCATTAACTCATAGATTTGCCACCTTTCTAATTGCTGATAACTGGACATCTGACACCCCCTTGCCCTTCCTCTTCCCCCAAGTCCTTTCCCCCTTCTGTGCCATTTTCCCCAACACCCTGCCCCTGTAGCTCCCTCTTCCCCTCCCACCTTAACTCGCTGGATCATCTCCACCTCCCACCCCAGCAGCTGGCTTCCCTCAGCTCCAGGGCCGGGACGGGAGCTGCTGCAGCCTGACAAGCAGCCTGCAGTGAGTGCAGCGAGGATATAGCTCTGGGGCAGACAGGCAAATCAGGAGCAGACAGGGAATCCGTATAAAAGCAGCTGAAGCTAGGGAGCAGGGTTCTGTGGCCGGCAGGCGATACTGTGCACTGTAGAGCTTGTGGGCTCTAAAGCTCAGCTACAACATCCTGAGGGAAGAGATCATCGTGTGGCTTATTTCTTTAGCTTTTGGCTCCCTTTTTCTCCTCCACGCTGGGAGTCTGTAGCAGGCAGGGTACCTGCAATGGGGATGGGCTGGGAGCCCTTTGCCCTGAGCCAGGCCTCAGGAGCAGGGCTAAGGAATCGGCTTTGGAGATAGGAGGGCAAGAGCTGAGAGAGACAGAAGGCTAAGACCCTGCGTTAGCTGGGAAGACGGGATGCTGGGCAGAGGTGGGGTGGCTTCGATACTCACAGGGCAGGAGATAAACAGCCCACCTGCCATTCGCCGGCTATTTACACATGTACAGGGCACCTTATCTGGAACTGCAGGGGCCATGTTGCCCAGGGGCTGAAGCTTTCAGTGTTCAGACTTTAGGATCACATCAGTGAAGAAAGAAACTGCTAACTTGCAAAAGTCTCTCTGGAAATTACCCAAGCAGCTGGGGGTTCATCAGTCTTTCTTCAGAGTTTCTGTGTTAGAAACCCAGCCCAGAGAACTGAAGACAAGACAGAGATGTTTCAGGGGTTCTTTTATGTTCTCTGTCCTGTGCATGGAATTTTACTGTCCCAAAGAAAGCTCACAGTCCAGGGGCCTGTCACGTGTCTTTACATGTGTTGATGACTCACAAGGGCAGCCGTTGCCCATATTCTTGAAGAGCTGTGATTCTTCTATGGCCCATTGTCAGAGCTAGGAGTCCTTGGTGGGCTAATAACACACAGCTGTCTGGCCCTCATGCAAATTCTACCTGAGGGGTGCTACCCAGTAGGAAAACAGGTGTAAGATACCAGTACATCGCCAGTGTTCAGAGTTTCAGAGACAGGGATGATACAGGCACCTAAATAGGATAGTCGTACTGAGCAAATCATGACTTTCCCACTGACACCTGACAGGACACACTTGGTACAAGCTTTGTAGCAGTTGTATAACCGTGGTAGCAACAATGACAAAAATGGTCATTGTTCAATCATACAGCATCACACCCTGTTCTCGTCCCATGATGGGTGCTACAGCTGGTAGCCACGTAAGGAAGAGGCATTGCCGGGTTTGAGCAGGGCAAGCAGCTGGGACACAACAGCCACTGGAAGACAGGAAGAGCACATAAAAACCTGTTTTCCTGCAAGGAGCCTGGTCCTCGTTCAAACAAAGGAGGAAAGAGTTCTTGATTTAGAACAACGCTTCCTCAGCTCTCGTCCCCTAAAGCCCCTACTCTACTTGTGCTATATTGATGACATCTTCATCATCTGGACCCATGGAAAAGAAGCCCTTGAGGAATTCCACCATGATTTCAACAATTTCCATCCCACCACCAACCTCAGCCTGGTCCAGTCCACACAAGAGATCCACTTCCTGGACACTACAGTGCTAATAAACAATGGTCACATAAACACCACCCTATACCGGAAACCTACTGACCGCTATTCCTACCTGCATGCCTCCAGCTTTCACCCTGACCACACCACACGATCCATCGTCTACAGCCAAGCTCTGCGATACAACCGCATTTGCTCCAACCCCTCAGACAGAGACAAACACCTACAAGATCTCTGTCAAGCATTCTTACAACTACAATACCCACCTGCTGAAGTAAAGAAACAGATTGATAGAGCCAGAAGAGTTCCCAGAAGTTACCTACTACAGGACAGGCCTAACAAAGAAAATAACAGAACGCCACTAGCCGTCACCTTCAGCCCCCAACTAAAACCCCTCCAACGCATTATTAAGGATCTACAACCTATCCTAAAGGATGACCCAACACTCTCACAAGTCTTGGGAGACAGGCCAGTCCTTGCCTACAGACAGCCCCGCAACCTGAAGCAAATACTCACCAACAACCACATACCACACAACAGAACCACTAACCCAGGAACTTATCCTTGCAACAAAGCCCGTTGCCAATTGTGCCCACATATCTATTCAGGGGACACCATCACAGGGCCTAATCACATCAGCCACACTATCAGAGGCTCGTTCACCTGCACATCCACCAATGTGATATATGCCATCATGTGCCAGCAATGCCCCTCTGCCATGTACATTGGTCAAACTGGACAGTCTCTACGTAAAAGAATAAATGGACACAAATCAGATGTCAAGAATTATAACATTCATAAACCAGTCGGAGAACACTTCAATCTCTCTGGTCACGCAATCACAGACATGAAGGTCGCTATCTTAAAACAAAAAAACTTCAAATCCAGACTCCAGCGAGAAACTGCTGAATTGGAATTCATTTGCAAATTGGATAATATTAATTTAGGCTTAAATAGAGACTGGGAGTGGCTAAGTCATTATGCAAGGTAGCCTGTTTCCTCTTGTTTTTTCCTACCCCCCCCCCCAGATGTTCTGGTTTAACTTGGATTTAAACTTGGAGAGTGGTCAGTTTAGATGAGCTATTACCAGCAGGAGAGTGAGTTTGTGTGTGTATGGGGGTGGGGGGATGTGAGAAAACCTGGATCTATGCAGGAAATAGCCCGACTTGATTATGTAAAGAGTTGTCACTTTGGATGGGCTAGCACCAGCAGGAGAGTGAATTTGTGTGGGGGGGTGGAGGGTGAGAAAACCTGGATTTGTGCTGGAAATGGCCCACCTGATGATCACTTTAGATAAGCTATTACCAGCAGGACAGTGGGGTGGGAGGAGGTATTTTTTCATATTCTCTGTGTATAAATAAAGTCTGCTGCAGTTTCCACGGCATGCATCCGATGAAGTGAGCTGTAGCTCACGAAAGTTCATGCTCAAATAAATTGGTTAGTCTCTAAGGTGCCACAAGTACTCCTTTTCTTTTTGCGAATACAGACTAACACGGCTGTTACTCTGAAACTTGAAAAGTGAGAGGTCGATGTCCAGGAACTCGGCTTTTTCCCCCAAGTGTCGCCAGCCAGCCACGTTGGCTTAGAACAACCTGCTCATAAAGGGGATCTTGTGAGACTCCCTGTGTTTTCTGGGACTAGCCCAAGGACAGATCTCCTATGATGGGATCCCCGGGGTGCAACCTGGACTGTGGGACAGCTGAGCCCTCTGTCCCACCAACCTGGGGTATCCCTCTCACACTGTGATACTGAGTGAAGCCACTAACCTCTGGCAGGTCCTGGGCTTACACACACACACAGGCAGGGACACACCCAGCTGAGTTATATAAATAAACTCCCAGTCGCTCATAAGTAACGCTCGATAGGCTCAAGCCAATTCCCCCCAGCTCCCCAGCCTTGCACCCCAGAACTGCACCATACTGCCCTGATCCGAAGCTTGGCCCTTAGTTTGATCTCTTAGCGACAGACCAGTGTGCCTGGAGAAAGTGTTCTATCTCCCATTAGTCATCTGTCTCCTGATCTGTCTGTCTACCATCTACCCATCCATCCTGGGCATTTACAGGGTATCAGACCCTAGAGAGACCTGGGCATTATCCCTCATTTTCTTCCTAATCAACTACATTTTTTCAAATATGCATAAATGCGCAGAGTAGCTAATTCCTCTTTGACTCAGCGGAGAGCCCAGAAGTTCTCATCTCCCATTGGGAAGGTCCCTTAATTGCTGTTTACTCCCGAAGCTAGATAAATAGCAGAGAAGCGCAGACATGGAAAGAGAGAAATTGGCTAGAGTGTCTCCGGTCTCCAACCTGTTTGCATCCAGATGCTGCTTCTCGCCTAGAGGCTGAGCGAACCCCCTGGGATTGCACAGATCTCTATTATAAGCAATGCACACCACTGTCAGCTCTCGGTGTGGGATGTTGCTGCAGATGCTGGGGTGAGAGAAGTGTTGGACACAGCTACCTGAGGGGGATTCCCAGGGAAGAAGCTTCCATCTAAAAAATCACAGGTACCATCTCTCTCTTTTTGACAAACCCAGTGCAACCTGGATGTGATGGGACAGAGAATAGGGTTGTGGTCCTTTCCAATCTATACATCCATTAAAAATCCTAGGGCCCTTGGCACAAAGGATGAGTTTGATCCATTATCATGGGCCAAAATGTCCCTCTTTACTATGCCCCCCCACCCGCCCCGGATTATGGCCTCCAGCCCCAAACTGGCTGCATTTCACTGGAACGGTGGATCCTTTAGGATGAAAAGTGTTACTAGGTGTCCAATACAAGTCCAAATTCGGAGGCTGTTGCTGGAAGTTCACTTAGGCCTCAATGCAGCAAAATTCCCCTTGGAGAAAGAACTGAGTAAAGACTTTGGGATCCAGCTGTGTGTTAATGCACAGGCACGGTTACATCCTCCTCCTGCAATGTGGGGCTCTGGCTATTATCGGGGGTGGTGGGGACTGTTACCTGACTTTAATGTGCTGGAAAGCACGGAGGTGGTAAGGCTCCTCACTAGAATAAGTATAAGAATTTTTCAACATGGGCAAGACATAATGTCTCCTAGCATCATTTGAGAATTTGGCTGAATCGTTATGCCTGAA